CAGTATATAAGATATTGTTGAACTTATTTGCGAATACACACTTATTGAGGAGATTATGTAAATTATATTAGGATAACAAAAGTATTGATCTCAAGCAGAATCTCTAGTGGAATTAGGACCACAGAGTATCATATGGATCACTTCTTTAATATTTTGGAAAGTATTTTTATCATTTTTTTCTAATTGAACTAAGTGCAGATTTGCAGATGCATTTCATGAAAAGTTTGGATTTTCCCAAACATAAGCTAAGGGTTTCTTCTTCACCGAAGTGTTTATTTCAGCAGTATATAATATAGTCTTCTAAGCATTTTTTGATTTGTTGGTGAGATCTTGATGTTTGTTTGTTTATATTCTGTCATGAACTAGTCTTTTTGTCTGTGGTAAATGAACTTGGTATTATTTATTAGATTCTCTTTTTGATATTATTTGAACGAAAAAAAGAATCCTTCAAGTTAGGGGTAATTTTGTAGGTAGCTTTAATAATGAGTAGTGATTCTTACCCTTCTGAGAGTCCTGCTGCAGGAGAAAGTCCAGGAAAAGTTGGAGCACCAGAAATGAATACAGGTTCAGTTAATTCAAATAGAAATTTCTCTTCTGAATACCCTCCATCTTTCCAGAGTTTTATGAATTCAGCAGGATTCAAGAAAGCTGAGACGGAGAGGAATTCCATGTCCATGAATTTTGTGCGAGGCATAATAGAAAAAGATTCATTTAAAACTGGTGGTGATTCCGGAGGTAATTTTAATAATTCCAGGGGTGATTCTTACCCTTCTGAGAATCTTGCTGCCCGAGAAAATTCAGGAAAAGTTGGAGGACCAGAAATGAATATGGGTTCAGTTAATTCAAATCAAAATGTCTTTTCTCAATACCCTCCATCTCTCCAGAGTTTTATGAATTCTGGAGGCTTCAGGGAAGCTGAAACAGGGAGGAATTCCATGTCCATGAATTTTGTGCGAGGAGTAGTAGGAAGAGATGGCAGAAACCTAATGGGGTTTTCTCCACAACCCCGGGGTCACATTGAACAAAATGCAGACTTTGTACACATAAAACTTTTGCGGAATAATACATTTGTTACTGTGACTGATTCCAAGGGGAACATAAAATGTCGGGCCTCGTCTGGATGCGTTCCAGAACTGAAGGGGGGGCGGTATAATGCTGAATCAACTGCTGAGCACGTTGGTAGACTGGCTGAAAGAATGGGCTTGAAGTCAGTGGTAATGAAAGTGAATGGTTTTACTTTTTTTAAGAAAAAAAAGCCAACAATCCTGAATTTCAGAAATGGCTTCACTAATTCTCGAGTAGACCACAATCCTAATGGGTATATTGAAGACTAACTCTACGACCGCTAATGGATGCCGACTCCGAAAGAAGCGCAGAGTTAAATAACAAGAGTCAAATTGTGCTCTTGTCTGTGCTGGCAGAAGAATGTTTCTGCCTGATGGTTAGTAAGCTGGTTAGACACATTATACATAAGATCCTGTGCTGTTGATGCTCAGGTTAGTCTGTCTAACATAGCTTGCTAGTTAAATCTGAAGCCAATCCTTGTCCTATCTCTTTTTCTCCGCAGAGGTGGATGTTTATTTGAAGCTGTTGTTTTATCCATTCACGAATTTGAAGTTATAGAGGTAGATAATCTTAGTGTTATCGATCCGAGGAACTAATAATATTAATCAGTTTTGGTGCTTATTGGCAACTCTGAAATGATTTCTCATGTTATGCTACTGTTCCCTCCTGCTACTTCCATGGATGGCAGAATCTTCTGTAACCTGGTTATGCATAGTTACTCAAATTAACTGTGCATATAAAATTTATAACTTCGAAATTTTCATATTTAATATATATTTATTTTTTAATAGCTTTTGCATTGCTAATATGATACTTAGTAATGTGATATAATATTATTAATTTTAATATACAAAATGTTTAAATTTAAAGTATAGAGGGTTTACGTTAGACTATGGGGAAAAAAATAATTATTAATTATAACAAATAAATTTATAAAGTCTGATTTTTTAAAATAAAACTTTTATGTTTTAGTTGATTTATCTTTTTATTATTAAAAATTTAATGAGTCAATTAAAATGTTAATTAATTAAATTTAGCTGCATATGTATTTAAATTAAAAGCACTATATTATATATATATATATATGTATTAGATTTGAAAAACTCAACACCTACTTAGTATCAATAAGATTATTTAAGTTCATAATTAAAATCTAAATTTTGGGTTTTACTTAATACAACAGTAATTAATATGCATTACATAGTTCTCAAAAAAAAAAATGGATTCTTTGAATCTATGAACACAAGAAATGGAATTATTTTATTCCTTGCAGACTGGCCGGCGGAATCTCAGCTCCACTGCCCAACCTTTAGCTTGCGACATGAGAGTTTGAAAATCTTGAATGCAAGATCATTCACCAGCTTCGAACTCTCAACCAGAGCTTCATCTCTCTCCTGCTTCAACCTCCCATGGTTTCTTTCTTTGCTCCCCTCCCAAAACCTCTTTTACAAAACCCGCATGTTCCCTCGAGACACAGAGATCATCTTCATGATTCCCGTTTAATTTCTTCCCCCAATCTTCCATGTCAAAATCACCGGTCTCCGTCCTTGCATCGACTGAGGATTTCCAGGAGTTCTGATCGTCCTGATATTTTTGCTGGTTAGTGTTTTTTGTTTGTCACTTTTCGCTTTAATTAACGTATGCTCAGATAATTCGCTTCTACTTCTCTCCGTTTCTTGACTATGAAACGATTTTCAGATTTTGGATTTTGACTTGTGCTTTTACTCTGCGTTTGGCTAGTATTCATCGTCGAGCTTATTGACTCTGAGTTGTAACGGTGCTATCATACTTTTGTTTGGCAGATTTTAGTGGTCAGATATCAGATATTCCCCTCCTTTCTTCCTCAGAGGTTGTTTTCTATGCTCCCTTTTTGTTCTTTTGGATGACTGTTCTTTTATTTAAAAGTTCTTCTTTTTTATTTTTATCTTTTTGTTTAAGAGCAAAATCTGTTGAAAATTCTAGTTTGTCCTTGGACAAGAAAACTATACTAAAGTTAACAGATTTACTTTTTAGTTTGAAGTGCCAATTTGATAATGTTAAAAGTACAAACTTCTACTTGATTCAATTCGAGTAAATTGGTCAGGTATCAATTTGATACATTTCATAACGTACAGGAACAGGAGATGTTTTAGATTATATCCCTTTGACAATCTTGAAGCTAGGTGTTTGAAGGGAAGGAAGAGGAATTTAGAGGTTCAGTGTGTTAATATTTGGGTTGATTACTTCTTTCCTATACTTGCATTAGTGATTGTGTGTCATAAATCAATACAATGGGAAACCCAGCTGTATATATAGGGGTTTTTTGTGTAAATTATGTTAGTACTGATTTTTGTGCATATATGCATGTTTGTCAAGGTTATTGAAGGGATCAAAGGAAGCCGAGAAAACTACAAAGGAAAACAGCAGTTTCTGGCCATGTACTCTAATATTTCTGGTGGAATAACAACAGAGCCATCAGCTATGCTGATTCCTATGGATGACCACATGGTGCACAGGGGGCACGGTGTCTTTGACACTGCTGCTATTATGGATGGGTTAGTGATTGCTAGCTTGCTACATTATAACTAGAGTTGTGAATTAATTTGATTTGACTTTGTTTCGTCGGTATTGATTATACGCCGTGTGTTTAATTCCTTGATTCCTTCAAGATCATCTGCATTTTAGTGGGAATATATGTGATCTGCTGCAGTTCTTGTAAATACTAATTGTACACTTATCTAACCTCTTTTTTAGGTTATATGTAGTCTTATTTTGTTTATTATTGACCCCTACCATATTTGTCATAGGAGATATAATTCTACAGTGACTAACTCGATGATCTATGCAGGTTTATATTCATTGAGTCGCTCTCTTTAACACTATTGTTTTGCATTAAAATCCAATATTTAAATATAGTAAAACTTAAACACCATTTTACATTTTAATCACAAAGCAAACTATTTTCTCTGTTTCCACATCTCAGACACCTCTATGAATTAGAGCAACACCTTGATCGTTTTTTAAGATCTGCATCCCTGGCAAAGATTAATCCCCCGTTTGATCGGGAGAACATAAGAAGGATACTCATTCAAACTGTAAGTGCTTCCAAGTGTAAGAAGGGCTCATTAAGATATTGGCTTTCAGCGGGACCTGGTGATTTTCAGCTATCTTCAACTGGCTGCTATCAGACAGCTCTTTATGCTATTGTGATTCAAGATCTCTCTACCTTTGATTCACGAGGCATTAAAGTAGTGACTTCATCAGTTCCTATAAAACCCCCAGAATTTGCCACAATGAAGAATGTGAATTACCTTCCTAATGTTCTTTCGAAACTGGAAGCCGAAGAAAATGGTGCATATGCAGGCATTTGGCTGGATGGTGATGGGTTTGTTGCTGAGGGGCCTAATATGAACGTGGCATTCGTTACCAAGGACAAGGAGCTTTTGATGCCACAGTTTGATAAAATTTTGAGTGGATGCACAGCCAAGAGGGTCTTGATGTTTGCAGATGGATTGGTAAGAGAAGGAAAGCTCCGTGCAGTAAGTGTACGAAATGTGACTGTGGAAGAAGGAAAAAAAGCAGATGAAATGATGCTTATTGGAAGTGGAGTTCTTGTCCGTCCTGTAATTCAGTGGGATGACCAAGTCATTGGTGATGGTAAGAGATTCTCCTTGATAATCTTTTACCATGAAACTTGCAGAGAATTTTAACATTCATGAACTTGAACAAACATGTTACCTTCCTTAGTGATTGAATATAAATATTATTTGCTGGTTAAAAAGTATTGACAATGAGATTTGTGCTTTTCTGTAGGCAAAGAAGGTCCTGTGGCTCATGCATTATTGAATCTTATACTGGAGGACATGAAGTCTGGTCCCTCTACCGTCCGAATACGTGTTCCATACTAACCAATAATCTGCTTCCCTGGCGTCCAAAGTAAGGGCTGGCCTCAAGCAGCAATGAAATATCCTCTTAGATTTGCAGGTCGACATGTTGGCATGATAGTCGTTTTAGCTTGTAAGGTAAAATATTCGTATGATCCAAAATAGAAGACCTTAGAATCTAATCCTGAAGATATGCTGATTATCTCTTTTAGGCTCCGAAAACATCTTTCAGCTGCTTTATGCATTAAGGACTTAGAGCTATCTGTAATCTGTTTGCTGGGATATCAGAGCAACATCTGACCCCCATGGCAAAGTTCGTAAATTTGGTCTTTTCGTGTTCGATATGGGACTTAGGAACACGATGTAAAAGAACATATATGTGCAAATGAATGGAAATAAAAAATCTTCCAGCCTTCAAATTATCCCTCTTTGATAAGCATCTGAGAACCATGTTATACTTGGGTATGCTGTGGAGAGATTTTGGAGGTATCCTTGGTCAGGTCAGTAAAGTGCTAAGAAAGCTTGGAACTGACGAGTAGTAGAAATCCTGTACCTCCTTTGCCGTAGGTGATAGATTAGATCATAATTTCTTGGTCTCTTGATATAAGAAACTGCTCAAATTATGATTAATCAAGAAGGCAGGGCTAAAGCTCTGTTCAGATTTCTGTTTGTTGTTTTTAAATAAAACAATATCTCAGTATCTTTTGGTGCAAATCGAGCTTGGGAATTTTTAGCATCAAATCAGTTTTTCTACACTTGAATTTTCTCTTTTTCTGAACACTTTTAAAATTTTTTTCTCTAAAGTAGTACATATGAAAATTGAAAACAAAAAGTTAAAATAAAAGACAAATACTTATAAATATTGGGATACATATACTTTTTATGTGTAAATATTTCATCAAAAGGGTATTGAAGAGAGAAACATACAAGAGGTCCAAACACAAGATATGACAAAATGCTCTTTTCAAGATTCTTCTTTTGGGTTCTTTGGGAGGCAGCTGAACTTGCTATTCCTCCTCCATCTGCCTCTTTTGCAAATGGTTTGGTAATTAATCAATAATTAGTTGTCTCCTTTATATTTCTTTATATTTGATAATAATGGTAAAATATTTAAAACATGATTTAATTATTTTAATTTTTTCCATTAGCCAATAAAAGAAAGCTAAACATTTGAAACAAATTAAAGACATTAGAGAACAAATTATAATGAAAAAAATATTATGTACCAAATTATAGTGAGTGCTAAATTTTGTAAACTACTTTTATAATTTACCTAAAATTTTAACTATTTTGTAATAATTGAGTTTAATTAAATAAAGAGATGACAATAGTCACTAGTTCAGTCTGAAAATAGTTTCTAGATTTTCAAAATGGTGTAATATTACAAAATGGAATCAGTTAACCTCTTTACAACATATCTATAATCTTGTTTACTAACATTACAAGAAATTACCTTCTTTTGCAGTCCTGGAAGATGCTTGTCCCTATACATTCATTGCTCCTATCACTGTTTCCACCTACAAGGAGTCCGATTGAATGATCCGTTATACAACAGGAACTCGTTCAAACTCAAATTTTAATACAATTATGCACCTTTAAAATGGCTTTTTCCAGTCGTCCTAACTGGTGGCGCATTCACTACCAGTGTCACTTTCTATGCTCAAATGAAGGCTTCTCGAAACCATGCAGGGATTTCAAGAGAAAAACCAAAAAAAAACTCCAGGCAGCAAATTGGTGAATATACTTCTTATTGTTTACAGTGAAATTTTTGCAGAATGATCTTCTTGGCTTGTTCCACTTTGACGAAGAACTAGCACCGCATATTATCATCTTGCTGCAGTATACCAAAGGTGAACCTAATATCTGGGACTCGTTGCTGGAGGCTGAAATCTGGAGGAACCGGAGGAAGTAATGCAGCTATTGTTCTTAACAAGAGGGATTAGGGACTGAACGACATCTGTCATTAGTGGGCGATAATCTGCTTCCGGCTGCACACACATGACTGCAATGGCAGCAACCTAGAGTACAATAGCAATCATTGAGGAAAAGGAACTTGGAGTTTTAGCATCAATAGTAAGT